AGAGAGATACTTCATTGATAGTTGTTGAGTAAACGAATAGAGTCAGCGTCAAATCACAAAGTAGCAGAGATGAGCGACAGGGCATCCTTTGTGGAGGGTACCTATCTATAAGCCACCCTTCAGCCAAACATGCGGGTATTTCCGAGGCCCATCCACATCCGTGTGTCCTCTGCCCCATGCCATCCCATCGCAATTCCGGCTGCATGGCTGCATGGCTGCGGGCATGCTCAGTGAGCCCCCTGCTGGGCGCCGTGGGCACTGCAAGGCGGCCCATTGCTCTTGCCTGTTCCGCCCTGGGAAAAGGACAGGGAGGAGGTCCGCCCAGCTCGGCCCCTAGACCTCGCCGCCTGTGTCGAGCTGGACGGTGACCTGGACGCCCTCAGGGAGGAGTCGCCACGGAAAATTAAAGTGTGGTTTGCTTTTCTGATGAATGGATTTGGTAAAATGTTTTCTTACTTTTTCCTAGACCTCGCCTGGTGGTATTACCAGTATCAGAGAGGTAAAAAAGTTTAAACTAACTTGACTACTTTGGTCACATTACTTTCAAAGGAAGGGCTGTTTAAGCAAGTCTCTGTATGTTGTAATTAGTCTCCTCACTCACCAACTGTCGGTGCCCCTTGTTAACAAACCTACCTAAACAGAAACCACTGGAAACAGTCTTTTAGACACAAGTTAGAGGAAAAGCTTCGCTCCCCCCTAAGCAACTGATACGTTTTCCTCTCATGGGCAACCAAAGGTGTACAAGGGTGTAGACCCAGCATGGGGCTCGAGTGTAGTGACCTGAATTTCTATGTCCTCTTTTTCCCTGTGGTCTTGACCTCCTAATCTAATCCACATTTTCTGAGGCAATTTTTCTTATTACTTGATCTCTTATTATTTTATTATATTTACTTCATATAATTGCTTCAATTCCTTTGTGAAACAAAGGGGAATGTACTAAACAATCAGTGAGGGAGAGAGAACGTGATAGGCGGAGGGGGCGAGGCGGGGGAAAGGCAGGCCGGGGTGAGGGGGGTAGCAGAGATCAGACACCGAAAGCTGGAAAGCTCTGGAGCCAGGCAGGTGGCGGGACGGGAGTGGGTGAGCCTGAGGGGACAGAGCAGGCGCCACAGGGGACGGCCACTGCCCAGCTCTAGTGAACTACTGCCTTGGGACAACTGGAGACCGGAGCTGTCAGACAGTCCCATTTTCCAAGAAAAATCAGAAACCCAAATGTGTGCATGAACCCCTCATCTTCAAATATTGGCAATTCACTCCCCCCACCCAAAAAAAAAAATTAAAACACATTTTATAGGCCAACCAAGACCTATCTTTAGGCCATGCCCATGCCAAGAGACACCGTTTTGTAACCTCAAGACCGAATGGGTCGCAATAAAGTCCAACCCAGAGACCCCAGGATGGAGAAACTATTTTTCAGTCCAGGGGAAGGAGGTGGTCATGGCCATGGTCTTGGTCACGGTCATGAGACTAACAGGAGGCACCTCAGTAGGAAGAAGACCAAAGGCGTGCGTCCTCCTACTCTTCACAGTCTAACCTGTACTTGGGCCAGAGCTTGGTGGGGGCAGAACGATGGTCAGCTTGCTACAAGCCAATGTGCAGTTTCTGCTCCAGGAAAGCAGAAACCATTGTAGGGGCACACGCAGGCCAGATCTGCCAAAGAGGCCCTGGACAAGACGGATGCTTCCCGGTCCAGTTCTGCCACCCCCCGTCACTGTGGCCTAGGACTCAAGCAAAGCTATTCAACGACCTGTGCTACAAGCCCTTAACGTGGGCTCCACGTGTTTAACAGACACAAGAGCTCCCTGAGAACACAGGGAAAATGCCACAACTCGGGGCCTGTTCATCCCTGAGGGTCTAACGTGTTTGTCCGCCCTTGGAAGAGCCTGCCGCCCCTAAGCTTTAAGGCCCACTTAGCCCGAACGGTCCCCTCCAGCCTCTGCTCCAGCCGGGGATTCCCTGCATCCTCCCCAGTGGCTGATTCTAACTAGTCCACCACTCTTTAAGGTGCTCATACTTAGAGGACGCCTTACTGTTAGAACTCCCGTCTTCCTCGTCTTCAGTGGCGAAGGCAGCGTTCCCCAACTCGCCAACACACTCAAGGTTTAGTGACCTACGGGCATGGAAACATTTTACAAATTAGAAGTACTTTACAAGCAGAAGGTATTTTAATGTATTGTCGTTATGTAGTTATCACCATAGTATGAAATCTCTAGGTTAAATTTCTATCATCCAAATTCAGTCTGACTTGGTAGGAAGAAGACCAAAGATGAGCCAATAATGACTCATCGTTATATTTAATAACAAAAATTATAACAAGCAACATTTGGCCCCAGAGACTCTTAACAAACTTCAGAAGAAATTGTGGAGCAGGCTCCCCACCTGCTCATTCTCCTGTTTCCTCCTCCTCCACCCAGGGCGCCAGGCCACCTGCCTACCTTCACTGGGGCCACCAGGATAGCACCCAGGAACTCTCCACGGGCACAAAGCCCTGTGGCCCCTTCGAGATTTCCTCAGAATATGTTTACAGTGGCCAAGCCACGAGGCATCCAAGCAAAGGCAGGGCGAGCCGGAGTGAGAAACAGGGGTGCCTGCTATGGGCACGCCCCAGAAGGCTGCTCCCCCCCCCAAAAAATAAAGACAAATTAGTGGTTTCTGTTCGTACATCATGTGTGACACATGACAGTCATGATCGGCTGTTGTACAAAGAAAGAGATGAAAATTGAAAATACAGCGCATCTCGTGTGAGTGAGGGAAAGAACGACTTCATAACATTTTTGCTTCAAAATATTTCATGCATTTTTTTGCTTAAATGTATGTGTACACTGGGTTGTGATGTGAACTCTTGCTCTTACGATGAAACAGTAAGAAAAAGAAATCGAGACCCACTGGTTAGAGCCCCACGTGCCCACATGCAGGCTGCTTCCCGGCATCTGGAGCCCAGAGACGCGGGTTTCCTCCCTTAGCGGATGCCCCGACAGCCCGGCAAGGAGAGGGCGGCGACAAAGGGAAGCGAAGCCACCGTGGCGTCCGCCGCCAGAGGTTCTGATCTCACAGAGTGTGTTTGATGGAAATTGATCCTGGTGCCCGGTTGGCGAACAAATCCTTTATTAATCAAGCCCAGGTCTCCCCGAATGAAGGGAGTTTAATATTTGGTATTTCAATAATTACTTAGTGCATTTTTAATAAAAGAGAGGGCGAGTGCAGTTTCTGATTCGCACTTTCTCAGACTCCCGCAAAGAGGTTTTTCTGAGCTTGTGAGGAATTCAGTCACAAGAAAGTTAATAGAAATAAGACAATCTTGTAAGAAATCTCTCTTAAGCTTCTAGGTAAGATAAATTTGGAAAATACACTAGATGCCTTCAAATATACACCATTCCAAAAATACATTTTAGTCTTCCTTACTTACATTTTAATGTAACTCTTACCTCTCTTCAGTGTTAAATACCTGCATTTTTAAAAAGAAAACTGCTGTTCAATCTAATGCGGAATTAAACCAACAATTTATTTTTTAAAATGAGTTAAGTAGATATGAATTAGACTAAGGTGGGGTTTTGTTGTTTGTCTGTAATTGCTACTCGTTAGCCACAAACATAACAATTAAAGGCTCTCTAAGAATTATGAGGAAATCGGCCACTTGCATCTCTACTGTATAAACAGCGTATTTTATTTATGGCAAAGAATCTGCCTTACACCCAGCAGGATAGGATAGTGTATATTGTTACCAGAATCCTCTACCTGTCCCTAGGAAACTTAGCGAAAAGCCTGTTACCTTAGGAAAAGGTTCAAGATTCAAGCTCACTTTGACGGATTCCTTGCCTGTTGAAATCAAAGTATCAAAGGGAACAGCGCCTCAAAGAGACTGACTGATGGAAGCGATCCACCGTTTCGCACCTGCGCCCCCGCCGCGCCCCCACCCCGCCCTCTCAGGTAGAGACTCAGCCTGTTCTCAGGCTCGTGGCCGCAGATGGAGCTGGTGACGCGCTGGCACCCGTTCCCGGAAACCTGCCCACCCTGTCACTGTTCTTGCCAGATTTACAGCATCAATAATCACCTACCAGATTTACAGTTCAATATATGGATTGGGTAACGTCTGCATGACAACAATGGGCAGAGGAGGTTAGCGGGTCATTGATTCTCGAGGGGAGTAAACTTGTAGAAAAAAAGCGCACAGGCCGGCCAGCCCAGAGCTCAGCCACTCCTGCTGGGACGGGCAGATGCGGCAAGTTCCACCGACGCCGGACTCTGGGATCCTTCCACAGGAGAGGGGCCGAGTTCTCGCTTTAACGACTGGCACTTGCCAGATGACGGGTGCAAAACTATATCGCATTGTAGTTCAACTGCCCCTTAAGACAGCTGTGCTGAGAGCCCTTCCATGCTTGATGTTTTCCTTTATATAAAGCAGCTCCCATTGAAGCCGGTTTCCGATTATGAAAGGCCATCTAGTAAATGTTACAAAACGGTCCTGTAAGTACATTCACACTTTCAAGTTAATATTTAATGCTGTGATTGGAACTTTTCGCTAAATTACACTCGCCTTTCTCTATTCACCCCAAACGGTGAGAGCCTACTCCGTGTTTTTTAAATAGGCCTGTTTCCCTTTGCAGGAGGGTGAGGATCCGTCTGCTCCCTCCACTGTGTCTCTAGAACCTCCAGATGTTCAGTGGGCAGCAAACTGAACATGCAGTGATATTGTTTCAAAAGAAAGGGAAGTGTTTTCACGGGGGCTTATTGTTAGCACTTCTGCCTGCCCTTGGAACGTGTTTCCGGCCAGCGCTGGAGCTCCCTCGCCTGGTGTCTGGCATACCTGCGGAAAAGGCTGGGCTGATTGTGGGAGACAAAGTGACCGGGCGGGGCTCCCAGGGGGGCGGTCACCTTCCATGTGATCCCAGCCCACCACCCCTGGGTCCCAGACCACGACACCACCCTTGTGACAGCCCCGACTGCGGTCTGACAAGCGGCCCCCGAGGTCACCGTTCCAATGCCACCTCCTCTGGTTCCAGATAAGATTGAAGATGAGTTGGAGATGACCATGGTCTGCCATCGGCCGGAGGGACTGGAGCAGCTTGAGGCCCAGACAAACTTCACCAAGAGGGAGCTGCAGGTCCTCTATCGAGGCTTCAAAAACGTAAGCCCCACGCGGCCTCGGAGGCCCAGGCAGGACGTCCCTGGGGCTCAGCGTCCCAGGGCACCACAGGGACCCATTAGGGAGCTCCCCCGTCTGTGTCACTGTAAAAGGAGGAAGGTCGGTGCTCTATAAGGGCCATGAGAGCAAGGTCCCCTGGCTGGAAAGGAGGGCTGCCCGTGAGGATGCGGCTCTAGCCTCTGCGTAACGCACTCACGCAGCCAGTGTAGCTGGTGCCTCGAAAGTACCAGGATTTAGGTCTGTTGCTAGTGCCTCCTCGACACTGGGGGCACCCAGGGCGAGACGCCTCCCTTGGTGCACAATGGGGAGCTCGCTCACACCCCAGCAGAAGAGAGCCCTGAACATGGGCCCTGTCTCGGGGAGGGGAGGGAGGCTGAGGGAGCCGTCCCATGAAGTCTCAGACGGCTCTCCGGGGCGGGTGTTGTTCCGCCCGCTGGGGCGGCTGAGCTTCAGACAGAGGCCGACGTGTAAGCCTGAATGCCAGTGTGTCAACTTACAAGAGTCCTCAGTCCTTGAACCTCACGATAGCCTTGCTGGGAAGGCCCCGTCAGCCCCATTCACGGCTGAGGACATTGAGGTTCGAGACTGAGTCATTCAACGTCACAAAGCGTAGAAGGGGCTGAGCCAGAAACCAAACCCAGGTCTTCCTCATCCCCAAGTGCAAACTCTTTCCATACCCCCTACCCCCAGTCCCATCATCCTAGAGAGTGGCTTCCGTCCCAAGGTGGGGCTGCCTCCCGGCCCCCCACCTCGGGAACATGGAAGTCCCTGCCCACCAGCAGCCACGAGGAACCCGAGACCCCAAGGCTGGGCCCAGTCCGCTCCTCCCGGGGCGGGCCCTCAGACACCCTCTGACTCTGTGCCCCTCACGCAGGAGTGCCCCAGCGGCGCGGTCAATGAGGAAACGTTCAAGCAGATCTACGCGCAGTTTTTCCCTCACGGAGGTGAGTCCGACCTTGAAAAAGATCCTGCCCGGCTCCCTCTTTGGCGAGCAGCCTCCCTTTGTCCAAGTCTGTGCTCCTCGCTATGTGCCTCCTCCTCGACACTGGGGGCACCCAGGGCGAGACGCCTCCCTTGGTGCACAATGGGGAGCTCGCTCACACCCCAGCAGAAGAGAGCCCTGAACATGGGCCCTGTCTCGGGGAGGGGAGGGAGGCTGAGGGAGCTGTCCCATGAAGTCTCAGACGGCTCTCAGGGGCGGGTGTTGTTCCGCCTGCTGGGGCGGCTGAGCTTCAGAGAGGCTGGGCCTTCACTGGCGACAGGGTGCGGACCAGGACGCAGTCCCTAAGTGTCTGATGTAAAGCTTCGCCGTGACTACCATGTCACAGTGCCCCACGCTCTCCATTCTCTTCCTTACAGCAGTGAGGCAAGCCAGGACTTTGAAAAAGAAACTTTAGTAAATACCAGGGGCCATAAAATAAACGAATCCAAAAAGCTGCAGGGAGCAGGGAGTTGTGCTTCTCAATCTAGGCGAGCCAGGGGCCCTGCCGCCCGCTCTGGTCCCACCAGCCTGCCGCATCAGTGGCTCCCCCTCTGGCTTCCATGTGTCACAAGCCACCTTACACTTTGCCCCAAGGAGCTGTCTCCTGCAGGACCCTCCCTGGACCCTGACGCAACAGAGACCCAAGCGTCCCAAACACAGCCCGGCTTTGAATGCTGCCTGAAGCCCGGCACCGGCCCTACCCAAGTGCAGGGGAACAGGGGGGCAGCTTCCTCCCAGTCGGGCCCAGAACCGCCAATGGCTGAGCTCTCCCAAGCCGCTCCTGACTGGGTTTGGGCTCGGAGGCTTTGATGCTGCGACCCTGTGAAGGGGGGACACGCTTTTTCAGAAACGTCAAGAGACAGGTCTGGCTACGTCCCATTGCACGGGATGGGCAAGTGCGCACAGCTCAGAGAGGCGGCCTCAAGAGCCTGCGGTCACACAGGATGCGGTGACAGAGCTGCTCTCCAGGCCAAGGGCATTGCTCTGCCACCCAGGAGAGCATCTCCGTGCAGTCACCGTGTCCCTCCCCCTCCCGGAATCACACACAGACAGGTGGCAAGGGCCTTCTCTGGGGATGGCTAGTCGGACCCGCAAGGGCCTGTCTTGCTCTTGCTAGAACTTGCCATCTACACCCCACGACTGCAAGACGGATCCAGGTTCATAGCGGTGGGTTTGCCACTGCAGAGGCGTCTCCCTTCTGTCCCCCCGCCCCACCCCTCTCCCCCTCGTTGTTTGAAGTGGCCTCGCCCTGCTCTGTGTCACCCGCCTCTCCTCCTCTGCCCTGCAGACGCCAGCACCTACGCACATTACCTCTTCCACGCCTTCGACACCACCCAGACTGGCTCCGTGAAGTTCGAGGTACGTATGTCTCTGGGACTCCCCGGGGGCTGTCTCCTCTCCCTCAACATCGCGGGGTGTGAGGGAAAGGGTTGGATCGTGAGATGCCCTCAGTTGAGACAAAGTGGCCTTCGTCCTTTTAACCAGCGCTTCCTGAACGTGGAGAGAGGCAGAGCAGCCGCCCTGCCCTCCAGGAGCCCCGGGCCTCCAGGGACCAATGAGTGCAGTTTCATAGGTCACGTGCACATGGCGCTAACCATGGGGTGGGCGCTGTACGTAGCGCTCTGCATGTGTTAATTCACTGAATCCTCACAATAACCCTACCTGGTAGGGGGCAATTATTGATTACCAGGCACAGAGGGCAGAGGAGGGCAGAGAAATAGAAGGATTTGCCCAAGTCAAACAGTAAAGGAGGGATTTGAACTCAAGGAGGGCGTTCCCAGAGTCCACATTCTTAGCCACGAGACAGTGCCATCCCTAACTGCAGCCGTGGGACGAGGCACCCCAGGGGAGGCTGGGTTTCCCTGCGCCTGGCGGTATCCACGCACACAGAGCTCCAAGCAGGGCAGGGTGAGGCACGGAAGGGCGGGCCGCTCTTCACGGAGCCTGGCCACATGCTTCCGGGGACAGAGGACAGGGGCGACACCGTTGTGTAAAAGCGCTCTCAGGGCCGGACCCAACGACAGAGCTGCAGCCCAGCCGACGGCTTGGCCTTCATGTCCTTCACGCCTCTTCCTCCTCGCAGGACTTTGTAACCGCTCTGTCCATTTTACTGAGAGGAACTGTCCATGAGAAACTAAGGTGGACGTTTAACTTGTACGACATCAATAAAGACGGATACATAAACAAAGAGGTGAGTGAGCTGAGGCCGGGGCCGGGCGAGGGCTACCAGTCAGGCATCTAATCGTAGGTGGGCAGCCGCCCCGGTCCTAACAGGGGGCTGCCTGAGGGAGGGCGGACCTGCTTCGGGCTCACAGAGCTGGTGCTGGCAACCTGAAGCAGCTCACCCTCGACGTCCCCGTGGCCCTTGTCCCAGGCCCTGGGAAAGGGTTAAAGAAAGCCATTCATCCCCACTGGGTCATGCGTTGGCAGTGCACGTTTTACAGGGGGTGTAAGTGGTTTCTTTCAGTGTAGAGTGAGTCTGCCCAGGGGAACTTGCCCTGTAACAGGTTAACAGGCACAGGTTAAAGCCAAAAGTTGGAATAGTTTTTGCAGTTACCACCTAGAAGAGAAAAGGGAGATTTTTGATGGAGACAACAGTTGGATCACATGAGCCACGACCTGTTTTGCCTACAAATAAACCCGTGGACGATGGAGGGCGTGGCTGTCTAAAGAAATCCTGACAAATCATTTCCGAACCTCCCCTGCTGTGACCAATCAGCGCCCCGGAGCCCACGTGGTGCCCCACCTGGGAGACACCCGCTGGTCTAACTGGATCCTCCCTTTGGTGTCTGCTGTGCCCTGGCGTCTCAGGGGACGCGTGGATTTAGCACCACGTAGCATCCCGCTTCCTGAGCGCCAGCCCTCACCCCCGCCCTGCAAGGTTTTCTCCCCAACTTTTTTTTGTTCCTCGCTCATTCGGTCCTGTGTTCGTTCAACATACATTTGAGGGCTTTTTAGGTGTTCCAGGTGCTGAAGATAAAGTGGCGAACAACCCTGAAGAATATGAAAACCCTGATACCCCCCTGCTCCCCGCAGATGTGCTGCATGAATCCCAGTAAAGACATAAAATGCAAATACGGTGGCCAGTGAAAATCAGGCACGAGTAATAAGATGGAAAAATTTGTATGATGTATTGCACTTAAAAAACCACTTTATAAAGCAGTATATATCATATTACAGAGTAGCTCAGCTGGGGTCAGATGTCCACCTTGCTTCTAATCAACTGCGGTTAATGTCACTTGTGGCCACAGGGACAGGTCACTTGGTACAAATACAGCCACGCAGGCTCGCCCGTTCAAAGGAATTGATGGAGTGGCGTGAGGGTCTTCCAAAGCTGGCGTCCACCCCGATCCCAGCATAACCCCTCACAGAGGGGAATGCTTGAGAAAAGGAACCTGCCCAAGAGCTTCTGGAGGCAAAGAGAACTCCCCGCTACCCTCGTTCTAGGAGGAGGCTCCCAGAACCCAGCCCCTCCCATGGGCTTTCCAACTCCCTCTCGTCACCTGAAAGAGGTCCTTGCGATCACTTTTGTTCATAAGAGGGATAAGGAGCATCAGTGTCCCCGAAGGTGAGCCTGACCTCATGATGTCCCCACTGTGTGCTTCCGTGTCCCCCACCCAGGAAATGATGGACATTGTCAAAGCCATCTATGACATGATGGGCAAGTACACCTACCCTGTGCTCAGAGAAGACACGCCGAGGCAGCACGTGGATGTCTTCTTCCAGGTAAGCGTGCACACCTGCGCACGAGCTGGCAGCTCACCTCAGACCAGGCAGCCCCCCAGCATCTGAGCAGTGCGCTGTGTCCAACCTGCTCTGCACATGGTAGGAAGCAGAGAAGAATTGTAAGCGTGCTGTTCTCTAGGAAGAGACGATCCCACTAAGCAGACAAGTGTACACTATAGGAAAAAACGGGGAAGTATACGGAGCATAGTACAGACTCCAAGTTCCATAAAAAGTCTTGAAGGATCCGAGTGGACAGAGGAGGCGTCGTTAAGCACGTTTGTGGAGGTGGTAAGCATTTGCGTCTAGAGAGGAAGGGAAATGAGGTTGGAAACCATGTGGGATGGAGCGTGAGGGGTTCAGGCTGAAGACTTCATCCTTGTCCCTTAAGGAGAGGGAGGCCGCTGTTAATCGTGCGTAGAAAAGTAGCAAGACCTAGCGGTGTATTAGTAAAACATAAACCTAGCAGTAGAGTGTCCAAGACAACCAGAGCTCATCCTGGTCCAATCCTGTCGCTTTGCAGATGGGAAAACAAAGGCTCAGAGAGGCTTAAAGCCTCACTCAAGGTCACCCTGTAAGGGACGGAGACAGAAATAGGAACGCTCATGTCCCGTGTTCTTTCTGCCAGATAAACGGGCCAGAGGAGTCTCTAAAGACCTGTTAGGGTATCAGCAGGACAACCGGTGCTGAAGAGATGAGTCTTTCATTTCAGGAACAGTGCTCCCATGGGAGTCAAAGCGGGACACCCAGGGCCTGTGTGGGGTTGCCTGGCCGGGACAAGACCACCCCCACCCTCGGGGCAGCACTGGTTAATAAAAGGCAAGTTTCGGAATGCAGAGTACCAGGTTCTTTACAGGGCTCCCTCTTGTGTCTTTCAGAAAATGGACAAAAATAAAGATGGGATCGTGACTTTAGACGAATTTCTTGAATCCTGTCAGGAGGTAAGGCGAGATCTCAGCCACAATGTCTCCGAGTCTGGGAAAGGGAAGGGGGGGCTTGGTGACCTGCAGGCGGGAGAGAATGAGCAACCAGTGACCCCCGGGGTCAGAGCCACCAGTCCCACCTGCAGCAAGGCAGGCTTCCAACAGCCCCCGCTCCCCAGAGTGATCTGCGGTTGCTCCTGGCCAAGCAAACTGGGCCTACGCAGTGGCTGGGGGGCGGGGAAGGGCCTGATGTGAAAATCCAGGGGTCTCAGAAACTACAGACTCCCCAGGGGGCCCACACCATCCTTTCTTAACCTGCTTCTGGCTTGATGACCCACTCCCCAGACGGCAGGGGCGTAGCTGGAAACAAATCGAAAGCTGTGATTCTCTAACTACAGCACACATGCACACTGCCTGGGATGATCCTTGAAATCCCAGGCTGAAATACATTCCCAGGCCGCAGTCCCGGAGACTCCACATCTGGGGTGGGGTCCAGAAATCTTCATTGTTAGCACGCAGATCCTAACTCAGTCCGTGTCGGCTGAGGCTCGGGTGCTACTCTTGTGACACTTCCCCAAGTGAGGCTGGTGCCTCTGGTCCTTAGACCACATTTTTTTTTAATTGTATTTTATTGGACCACGTTTACATTAGTCTAAAAGGTAGACTGGCCCCAGAGTCCGCCAGGGACTGGCCTGGAAATAACTGCTTTCCCCGAGTTTAGGAAAATGCATTTCTAACCCACCTTGTTTCAGAAACATACAGTTTACTCTGAGCTCCACTCGTAAGAACCGCAAATACAAGAAAGCAGGGGAGGCGTAGTTAACGCACGCTGAGCGCCAGCTGCGTTCAGGCACATGGCGTAACCCTCGCGACGACCCTGAGAGGTAGAGGCGCCACCTCCGGGGTGACGTTCTAACTCTGCAGCAACTCGAACAGACTGAGAATTGGCCACTCGTCACCGACCCTGGCCCTGCGCCCTGGAGCAGCGCCCTAGAGGACCCCCGTTAGTTGCCGACCCATTAGCTGACGGGATTTTGGGTGGTCTAGGGGTCCTCGGCCAATTACCAGGTAGCCATAGGGAAGATGTGGGGGCGGGGGGGGGCCCAGGCCAGCGGCTATTCACCAACAGGTGAATTTTGACGTCTTAATTACTGTAAAATGGCTAAGGTGCTCTCATTCTCACGTCTATTTCTTCTTTAAAGAAGAGCACACAGAGGCACTGCGGGGGTAAGAAGGGCGGTGAAGGCACACACATGACCGAGATGGGAGGCGAGCTCCAGCGTTCCAACTTCCAAGACCAGGCACTACCGTAGCAGGCTTTTATGACCTTGCTTAACTGCTTTTTCATCGATTTAGTTTCCCACATTAGCAACTTCTTTAGCTATTCATTAATGAACGCATTGGGTTTCACAGCCTCCTGTATAAATAAATACTATGATGGCTACCGTTTTACGCATGAAGAAATGGAGGCACAGAGAGATTAAGTGGCTTGCCTACGGTCACATCTAGTAAGTGACAGAGCCAGGACCGGAATCACCCCAGGCAGCCGGACTCCAACCCCCGCACGTACTCAACCCCTGGGCAATCATACCTCCCTGTTCTAGAAACTTTTAGAAGATTCACTTACCCACAACCAATCAACTTTTCAACTTTTGAAAAACGAATCAACTTTTGTCTTTGTTGATTTTCTCTACTATCGCTCTGCTTTTTATTCCATTAATTTGGCTCTAAATTATTTCCTTCCCTCAGCCTTTTTATTTTAATTCAATTTTCTAGGTTTTCTTCTCGCTTTTTGAGATGGAGGTTTAGATCCCTGATTTTCAGCGTTTCTTCCCTAATAAACGCATGAAATGAGATACGTTTTCCTCTGAGTACTGCTTTAGCTGCTACTGCTTCATATCCCCCCAATTTTGATGTCATATTTTCATTACATTTTAATGCAAAATATTTTCTTTCCATACCCATGAAATACAACTTATCAAAAATTTTTTTAAAAACATATTGAAAATCTGAATAGTCCTACGTCTGTTAACAAAATTTGAGTCTGTCATTTAAAACTTTCCCATAGAGAAAATGGCAGGCTCAGACGCCTTTACCAGTAAATTCTTCCAAACATTTGAGGGGGAAAAAAGAAGATACTAATTTTATATAAATGCAAAGAATAGAGAAAGAGGAAAAACTAATCAACTTGATTTAGGAGGTTATGATAACCCAATATAGAAACTTGACAAGGACATTACAAAATAAAAAAATTTTTAGGCTAATATATTCCTTCTGGATATAGATGCAAAAGATCAAAGCCAGCAATATGTAAAAAGCAGAATGCATCATGAACAAATGGGATTGGTTACAGGAATGCTAGATTGGTTTCATGTTCAAGAATTAATCATTGTAATGAATGACATAATAGAATAAAAAAGAAAAACATGATCATCTCAGTGGATGTAGAAAACCCATTTGATAAAATGCAGTTGCCCAGAGCTGCTTAAAAGAAGCAATACTCACGGTTTCACTGGATAATTTATTCCTTCCAAACTCCTCACAGCCAGAGAAGGTGACTCTCGCCTGGAGTGGCTCCTCTCCCAGGTCCCAGCCCCCCTCCTCTAGGTCCCTCAGGGCCTGGCAGAGATCTTTCTGCACAGGAGACCCATGCTGGAGGGTTGCTCGCCAGTTACAGCTTCGCAGGGAGGAGCCTCATTGAATTCTAACCATTCCCTCCTTCCCCCTTGTCTCTTCCCAGGATGACAACATCATGAGGTCCCTCCAGCTGTTCCAAAACGTCATGTAACTACGGACACAGCCATCCGGCTCTCGGAGACGTTGTACTAAGCCAACACCTGAACACCTTGATCTGCCCTCCTTCCGATCTTGCCCACGGACTCTGGGGTGGAAATACCCGCTCCACGTCGGTAGAGTCCTCTACTGAAGACTTCCTGTGGAGCCCAGCATCACGTGGCTCGGTCTCTGATTGCCAGCTCTTCCTCCTCCCTCTCCTTGAGAGAGACCAGACGACATTGGAAGCATGCTCCTCGCCTCACACTGCTGCCCCGTGGAAGGCCCCTCCGCTTGAGCTTAGACAGTAGCGCACACCTATCTGCCTGCGCGCCCCAGCCCACCGCTGCCAAGCCCGGCAGACCTGGACGGATCTGGAAGCAAGACGACCTGAGCCAAAATGCACTCCATCCTCTGACGGCCTCCCAAACCAATGTGCCTGTTTCCCTTCCTTCGGTGGGAAGAAAGAGCGTTGTTACCGAACGATCTGAATCTACCGGGACTACATGGGGAGCGCCAGCGCCTAACCTGTCTGTGTAGGATAGGACTGAACTCTTAATTAAGCACGGCGTTGTCTCATGACCCAAACTGCCCATGTCCTTTGTTTCCAGAGGCCAGGACCAATCATCCTCTCTCACACTAGCATCTGTGCTGGTAGTACAAACCCCCTGACTGCCCAGGACGGGAGCCAACGCCCAGTGGTCCATGTCTCCGCGCCATCTCCTGCTAGAGCCCAGCGCTGCATGTCCCTTCCAGAAAGCCCAGAATGCCTGCAAATTGCTGTAATTTTATACCATCTTCTAATCAATAAACAGAATTATTTCTTACACTCCTAATCGTCACTTCTTCCATGACTCCTTTGGGCAGGAGAGTGGAGTTGGGAAAAGGGAAGGCTAGTCCACTCCTTTGGCATCCAGTTGTGAGTACTTACCCTGTGCCAGCCCCCAGGCAAACATGCAATGCAAGTACGAATAGTGGGACCACACGCACGTGCGGCTCAAAGAGGAAACTGCGCAAGGCCTCCCAACAAGATTGCCTCTCCCAAGACCCTGCCCAGTAGAAGGCCGGACCCTCACTTGGTGTGGGAGAGGGGGCAGGATAAAGAGGTGGCCAGGACCTCCTGCTGAGGGATGTGGAGTCCAGGGGTTGATGAAGGGGCTTCAGCCTGTAAGCAGCAAACTACTCCTTATGTCGAACACTATGGGCCTTCGTCTTCCCATTTGACATCACATTTAAAAGATTAAGAGCTACAAGTGGCGTTCCTGGAAGGAAAGTAATTACAGAACCTCTATTATGTGTCAGGTGTTGTAGCAGGGGCTTTATACACGTTATCTTATTTCATGCTCACTGTAGAACATTCTGGAAGGTAAGAGTCCTGGTTTTACTGGTGAGGACGCTGAAGCTCAGAGAGATAAGGGGACCAGCCTAAGGTAGCACACAGCTCCCCAGAGAGATTAAACTCTTCCCACTCTATCCTGCAGCCCTCCTGCTGGGGGATCTGAGGGTACCTCACACAAACCTCATTCATCTGTAGTCGGCTCAGAGAGGCACAGGTATTCTTTGAACCGAAATAGCGGATCAAGAAACAGATGCAGAGAGGGGAGAGCCCCAGGTACCAGAGAAGGCCACCCTATCTCCTGCATACGTGAAAAACTCCCCATCCAATTGCTGTTGACTGGCGCCTCGCCTGCGGGAAGTCGTAGGGGCTGCCGCTCTGCTTGTCTCTTTGCACTAACCCAGCACAGGCTGATGGTCACCTACGGCTGCTGGACCCAGGGCTGGCCTCCAGCAAGGCACACACGTAGGCCCAAGCGGAGGATCTGCACTTGGGATCCTTCCCTCGCGGGGGTTGACCCTGCATCCTGAGTCTGGACAATGCCAAGGCTGCCACAATCACCCTTGGTGTGTGAGAAGTGCCCACACCTGGGCCCCATTCCAGACCAATTGAAGTGGGCGGGGCCCCGGTATCAGGATGCTTTAGAAACTGCCCAGGTGATTGTAAAGTGCACCCAGAGATAAGGTGGGAGAGTGGCCATGCCCAGGGCTAGGAATGAAGCATGTGATCTGGGCCATTCCCCACCTGCCTGCTGATAAAAAAAATTAGGTCTGCGACCCCAAGGCACAGCACCAACACCTTCCTTAGGCTGCCCCTCCCTCTGGGACCTCCCCCTGCGTCAGAAGCACTTTTCGTTAACAAGCCTGGTCATCTACCCTCCCCGGGGCTGTCTTCCGGCCAGTTCATTCCCACCGAGTTCCCCCAGCGGCATCCCATCCCTCTCTACCCCCACCAGGAAGCCCCGCACCTCCAGCCCCAGCCCCCCCACCCCAGCGCTTGTCCAAAAGCCCAGCCAAGGCCCCTTAGGCAGACTAACGGAAGCCACAAGTAGAACCCCCGGTGCTGTTCCACCTTTCCCTCCACTGAACCACATCCCCTTGGGTTCTTCTGCATGGGAACGCCTGAAGCGGGGCAAGGATTTTTGTGGCAGAACATCCAATCCTCCCAACACCCAACCACCCACACCTACCCCCACGGCCTGCCCAGTGCAAGGAGTCAAAGCCCTTCACTGTTAATGCTGACCCAGAATAGATCAATGCTTGGGGGGATATGGAGAAAGACAGACTATTGTGGTGACCGACGGGAGACAAAGGGTTAAAACGGATGCGGCAGGTCTGCCTTTTAAGCACCCCAGGGCCCACGAGAGGGGTGATTGGGGCACAGAGGAGGCGCTGGCCGGGTGTGATCGGCGGCTGCTGCTCGCCGCCGAGCCGCTAGATGGCGCTAGCGCCCCGCCGAATATGCCGCGGACCCGTTGCTGGGGACTCCAGACCGCGCCTGCCCGGGAGCACGAGGAGTGCGTGGGGGCCGCGAGCCCGGGAAGGATGTGCCTGGCTCCTTGCAACCGAAGCGCCGGCGCTGGCTTCGGGCCTGGTGTGCACGCGCAGGTCCGGCACTTCCAAAGGCCGGGCATCTGGTGCCAGTGCTCTGCTGCCATTGCCTTGAAATTCTTAATAATTTGTGAACAACGGAACCCAGATTTTCCTGTTTGCACTGGGTCCTACCCAGAGCTTTCCATTTGCACACCGTGACTCATTCATCCCAGCCGGATGAGAATGTCCCCTTTTATAGACCAAGAAACCGAGGCTCAGAGAGGGGTGAAACCTGTCCAAGGTAACGCCCTGGTTGCTGATGGAGGCTGCTGGAAATGGCATCGATGACCCCAAGCGTGGGGTCTTTCCGGCCCCCATCGGAGGCTGCCCACGACTGTCCGCGGTAGTCCTGGCCCTGCTCCGGCCCAGGCGCAGGCCTCTGCCCACCGCCCAGCAGGCAGCCTCCTTCAGGCCCACCTGGCGCTCATAGGCTGGGATGGGGCTGGGGTCAAGGGGCCCCAGCGCAACGCTGTTCCCAGAGTCTCCATTTCTCCTGGGGACTGAAAACTCCTGGGCGGCCTGGAAGAAGAGGCAGCCATTGCAGCCCAGGTTGTTAATCCTGGCTTCTGCTTCCTGGACAGCCAGCCAGCCAGACAGGGACTTGGGCCACCGAAGGACAAGGGCGAAGGAGGAGCAGGTCAGCAGGGGGGTGCAGAATGGGAGGGGGGAAAGGGCTAGACTTCCCAGGGAGGGAGACAGCTCCCAGGTAGAGCCCCGCTCCCCGCCCCCTTCCCAGCTGCAGGGCCCGAAGCAGAGGGCCCCTCAGAGCCTCACTTTCATCAAAACTAAACAAGGAAAAGTTCTCAGGGTGGCTGCAAGGATTAAATACTTCAAGTGCCTGGTGAGCTACAGGTTCTCAGTAAATATTTCTTTATTTACTTTTGGTTTTTGTCACAAAGACAGCTGGGTTATCCTCTCTGGTTTCTGCCCCTTAGGGAATGGGGTGGGAGGCAGAGGTCGGAGAGCAGGAAAGCTGTCAGAAATGTGGTCCAACAGGCCAGACCAGCGCCCCCAGGGAAACCAGCTGGCTGGCTGTAGGTCTGGAGGGAGCTCTGCCCAGAAGTGGAGGCTGCAGGAACGCTGGGGACAGCGCTAGGCCGCAGGATGCAAAACAACAGAACGATACTAACACGGGTACTGTCCCCGTGTGGTCGTCCAGCCAGGAGCTGGTTTGAGCGCCTTTTCTGGGCCTTCACACTGCGCGATGCTCCTCCCAGCTCCCCGGAGAAGCCAACAGGGAACCAACCCATCACCCCACTTTACAAATGAGCGACTTGCCCAAGGTCAAGAGGGCAACACAAGGTCTTGACCCAGCCTTCCAATGTTTGCTTCAGGCTTCACCCCAGCACTGCAGAGTCAGGGCCCCCACGGAGGAAGGGGCCGAAAAGGCAGAACAGCCCTCTGTGTTTCTCCATCTGCCAGACCCACAAAACAAGGAGTGGGCGATGGGGTTGGGGACTAGGGAACAAAAGATTCTTCTGATTCCAGGTCCTGTGCCCTCCTCCAAGTTCAGGCTGAGCCGGGGTGAAAGCTTGTCCGGGAGCCTCTGAAGTCAGACAGGCTCGGGCTGTGACCCCACGACTACCACGTGCTTGCTGTGTGCCCTCAGGTAAATGACACCACCTCTCTGAGAGTGTTTGCTCATTTGTAAAGCAGGGATGGTGATACTGGCAAGGCTGGAACAGTGTCGGGGGAAGCGCTGGGTGTTGCAGTCGGTTGGACTGGGTTCACGTTTCCATCTGTTGACTGTACGATGAGCAAGAACCTTCACCTCCATGAGCCTCAGTTTCCTCATCCAAAAAGTGGGATATTAAGACTTCCTGCCTAAGTTGTTGTACAGATTGTGAGCTAATAGCTATAGAGGTCAATAATATTAATCACCCAGGAGGGAGGGAGACGGGGTGGGGGCAGGGGCTTCTGCTGCAGGTCACCACAGAGGCCACCAGGCGCCAGGCATGGCGCCTGCCCCAGCATCCACCCCCTGGGGCCCCAGGCAAACCTCCAGAGACGTCGGCTCAGAGCCCCCCCGCTGCCAGCGGGCAGCCCTTCAGGAGGAGAAGTGACAATCAGAGAGACGTTAACCAGGCAACACCAACGGAGAGACTGCGAACTATCGAAAGCAGGGTCAGAGAGACAGACACCTTCCATCCCGCGTCGCAGAACCTTTGACGCGCTCAGCCCACACCGCAGCAGCGAGGGGAAGCAGACCTCCGAGGCGAGGCTGGGGCGGCAAGCGTGCGTCGCAGAGATGAGGAGCATGTCCGGCCACGCTGCCGGGCTTCGCGCAGCCGCCTTTCTTCCCTGGGCCAAAAGCGGTGACCAAGGTGTGCCCGGAGGCAGGCAGCCTGGCTTCACCGTGCCCGGGTATCATCGTCACACACACTGTCCCTCTTCCTAAAATGTTCTTTCTGCCTAGTCCATGGGCAAACCTCAACCCACCCTTCAAGACGCCGTGTAATTATTGCCACTTCTGAGAAGGCTTCTAGACCTCGAGTGTGGCTGAGCCTCCTACGTTGCATGTTCCACAGCCTGCTGTGTCCGCGTCCCCCGCGATCACAAGGGTTCCCTTACGGGGTGGGCCACGTCACACACGCCCACGCCTCCCACGGCCCTGCCACGGGAGGCACAGGGGAGTTGCCTGTTGAATGAACACATCTCTCACCAGCGTCACTGAGGTTTTGGAACGTGGAGAAGGGCACCCACCTCGGACATTACTCCAGCGTGACCTGGCAGCCAGTCCCTGGCACCTTCCCTTCCTCCAGGCTGACGACCGGGCCTTCCCTGGAGCCAGCCTGCCCACCAGCGGTGGGCAAATTGGGAATCCAGTGTGTAAAGCGCCTGGTGCAGTGGCGAGCACGAAGTAGCTGCTCAGCAAATA